TTGCCTTCCTTGTCCCTTAGTGCATACATACGATTTTTTGCCTATCCCAAGTTTCCTCTTCACTGCTTTGACGCTTCCACCGTTTTTCAGAGAGAGTTCAATTCTCTCCATGTTATATCTTCTTACATCGGATACCTTACACCTATTAATCAAGGCACCCATGATGGCACCCATGAAGCTTGCCAATTATGGCAGAACCTTTTCGGCGCCTAGTAATTGGTACCGTCGGGCCATTGCCAGAGTCAAGGCAAGGTTGTCGGTAAATCCTGGCGCCCCTTTGTGTAGCCACAGAATTTCCGGAAGTGATACGACTTAATTAGCTCAATGCCCCTCATGTCGTCGATGCACTGCTATCTATATTTGCACGTGTCGGATTTCTTCCTGAAATCCAATGTGACAATGGTAGTGTCTTCATCAGCTGCCTTACCTCTACCTTTTTGGATAAATGTGGAATAGAACTAGTACACAGCTCGATTAATCACCCACAATCTAATCCGGTAGAGCGTATGCATTCCGTTCTGAAACATATACTGAGAGCTGTTTTCTACGAGCACAAATGCGACTGGGAAGCCTGAATTCCTCCCGCTGTGTTCGCTTTGAGATCAGCTCCTCATGAGAGCACTCGTTTTAGACCTGCATAGTTGTGTATGGCACGAGTTTGAGAACACCATTGCGAATGTTGCGCGAGTCCTGGAAAGGATTTGATGAGTTTTGTATGTTCTCGACCTCCTTCAGAGGCTTGGAAAAACGAAAGATCTTGTGGAAAGCCACACGAGGCTGCACAAGTGTTGTCCAAGGAGTACTATGACAAATCGGCGAAGAAATGCTCCTTTGAAGTGGGTAGTCCGGTAATGCTGCTGTGGCCGTCCAAAAGGAACAAGCTTGAGGTTCATTGGGAAGGGCCCGCCAAAGTAATATTGAAGCTTTCTGACACCAATTATGAAGTGAAATCAGGAAGAAGGCCGAACAAAATATTACCACAGTAACTTGATGAAACCATTCAATCAACGTCAAGCGGTCGTAAATCTGCTTTTGAATGTTTCAGAGGAAAAGGGAGCAGAAATTTTGACCTCTAGTGATGTAATTGAAAGGGGTTCGGAGCTTATCTTGGAGCCGCGGTACCTAGTGCCTATATGTTAAGTGAAGTCCAGAAGGAGGACCTGAGAAAGATTGTTCCCGAGTTTAAAGACGTGTTTTCGGACCATCCCGGAAACACAACGGTTATTGAACACAATATCGAGCTAACTTGTTAGGAGGGAATCCATAGCAAGTCGTATTGATGTTTTTCTGTGCAAAAGCAGATCATGAAAGAGGAGATCAATAAAAATGCTGGAGCTGGGAGTCATAGTGCCGCGCGAGAGTGACTATGCATCCCCAGTAATATTGGTTCAAGTGCGGGGAAAAAAATCTGAGGCCATGCATCGATTATCGGCGTCTTAATGCTATAACTCGAGACCAAACCTACACGATACAAAACCTAGAATAGAGGGTAGAAACTGTGTCACAGTCTAGCTATATTTCCATGTTAGACCTGGCGCAAAGGTATTGGCAAGTCCCCCTCACGGAGCGTGCTAGCCACTATGCCGCATTTGATCGTTTATCCATTCGGAACCTATCGTCTACTTAAGCTGAGCTTTGAATTGAATAATGCACCTTTTGTTCTTCAGGCTTAATGGACCACGTTCTTAAAGGCCTCTTTGAGTTCGCTCTGCCGTATCTTGACAGTGTCGCCATCTTCTCAAACAACTGGGAAGAACATGTCGAGCATTTACGCGTCGTGCTTAACAGGTTAAAAGAAGCTGATTTTACCGTGAAACCTACTAAATGTCACCTAAGGTGCAGCGAGGTGGCTTACCTGGGACACGTTGTGGGGTGCGGCCGGCGTAGGCCTTCGGAAATTAAGGTAGCCGCCGTCGTGAACTATCCACGAAACACCACAAAAACTGAGATAAGAGCATTCTTGGGCCTAGCTGGATACTATCAGCATTACGTGCAAAACTGCTCTAGCATTGCCAGCCCTCTAACTGACGCACTTTGAAAGTCCGAGGCGGTTACAGTAGCATGGGACTCAGAAAAGGAGAATGCATTTTGCAAGCTGAAACAGGTCCTAAGCGAAAAGACTGTTCTCATGGCACCCGGTTTCTCTAAGAGATTGTCCATTTTTTGCGGCGGGAGTGATCGCGCCATGGGAGCTATATTGTGCCAGGAAGACAGTGCTGGTAACGAAAGGCCAGTTTTGTATTTAGGTCGAAAACTCAGCTGCAGGGAAGAGGCATACTGTACCTCTGAAAAGGAATACGCTTGCCTCATGGTCGTTGAAAAGCTAGCCTCTTATATCTCCAGTTCAAGGTTTGAGGTCGAAACGGACCACTGTCTGCTAACCTGGTTAAAAATAACATGTCGCCTGAAAGTGGCTTGTTACTGAGGTGTAGCATGATACTGCAACAGTAAAACTTTGACGTACGCTACAAAAAAGGAAAGCTAAACGGTATTGCAGATGCATTGAGCCGCGCGTTTTAGTTAGTACCTTCTACGTCCTTCGGTCTGTCGACGGTGATTCGGGGCGAAATTTTGTCCCCATCAAGGCCTTAGCTGAGCGCGGTCGTCCAGTGTGATCTCAAGGGGGCAACTTTATGTTGTATTCTATTTTATTACGTTGTTGTACGTGTATAAACTTAAGTTCTCATTTTAAGAGTCTTGTGCCCACATGTGCCTCTTGATGTAGAGGGAACGAAATTCCGATGAACACGTAGCTAGGTACAAGTTGTGCTATACCTTGTCTGGTGTTCTGTCGGGTAACCAAGGGCACTTGCTTGTGTAGTGTGTTGTCTGTTGTCGAGCCGTTCTTGACAAGTTGCAGAACCATCGACAAGTGCTGGGGCCAAAATCGTCAGAAGAGACGAGCGAAGCTGGCCGACAAGTTGTGGCGACAGGCTAGTGGAGCTGGGATCCGTCCTAAAGAATGGGATGAGTGCACGGAACTGAGTCTGGAGCTACAGTCTCCCCATGGCCCTCGAGGCAAACCTGGACGAACCTGGTGAAAGAGCGCGCCCAACATCCGAGACACGTGGAAGCAGCTCGTCTTACCAGCGCATTGTCTGGCGGCGGGGGTTCTGTTAAGCCTCGGAGTCTACACCGAACGTCAATGCCTCTGCAAAAGCAATCTCTGTCTAGGCCAGTGATCGAGCCCGCCTGACGCGATCAGCTCAACGACGTCATCAAGCGGCGGCGCCGGTCTGTCCTACGCACCGCACAGCGGGCTCCCTCAGCCCACGAGCCCGATGAAGCAATGAGCGCCTTCCAGTCTGGCGAGTCTTACGCAATGAGTGGCAACAACACTCGTCCTTGGATGCAACCCCGCGCGGTGAATCCGGATTTGATGATCGTGGTGCAGCCCAGCGGCGGGTCCCCATTGGAAGATTCTGACATCACGGCCAGCGGTGCTTCCGTTTAGACGTTGGTGACGCAAAAAGTCCACCCGGTGCCTATAAAAAAAAGCCAAGCGACGCGTCGCCAGCAGTTGACCTATGCATCAGAGAGAAACCGCCGTGCATGTCAGAGAAGAGACCTTTCGGCTCTTCGAGTCCCTAATATGTCGGCCCCAGTGCCAAATGTGTAACGCCTCTATTTCTATGTTGTATATAAAGCTTGCCTTAGCTCACCATCGTCTCGTCCGCTCGTCTATCAGCTCTGCGCAGAAGCATTCGACAGCTGAGTAACACATGCTACCAAAGGCGGGTGACCCTATCGGTGGAGTTCGGAGCAGTGGCGCCTTCGGGTCCATGTTGGCGTCGCACCTTCCTAACAACGCTCGAGACCCTCTAACGCAGCGCCTCCGGAATACCATTTACCGTTTTTCTTGCGCAGAACATCAAATAAACGTTTTGTTCAGTCTCTACAGACGCAAGACTATTGCCTTTCGACGACATTTGCAGTGTAACATGCAGATACAGGGCCATTTTTTATTTAGACATGCTGCCAATCTTATATGAGCTCAAGGCAGGAAAAAGGGGGTTTACAACAGAATACATAGAAACATTAAACAAGTTACACTAAACAAGTTACAACAAGTCACCGCACATTTACCTGAACAGGCTTCAGGCCTTTTGACCTACACCCTTGCAGGTTCGGATATATCCTAGCCGCGCACTCTTGCACAGGGTCTCTCCCGATATTCAGACATGAAAACACTTTTCTGGTATGCTCACAATTTGAGAACATAGCAAAGATGTTCTGGAGGTCAACTATGTTATGGTGGGACGAAGTCGTTAGGTAGAACAAGTCAGATGCTGCCCGTACAGCGCAGATTTGGAAGCACAAATATAGGCAGTAAACACGCCCTAGACTTGGCGGAGAGGCTAGACCTATCAGTCTCGACATGGGAGCAGCTGGTTACACATGGTTATCGACCAGAAAGGCCCAAGTAATGTTATACCATTTCAGTCTATTGAAGAGCGAGCATTCCGAAAGATTGCATGTGTTTTATTCAAAGCACCCTAGCCTGTAAACAAAATCTAGCACTGTCTTCGCACCCATAAAGGTGTTACAAATTTATAATGTAGATTTTATTACAGTGCAAAGCCAGTGAAGAGGAACAACCTCCTGTCTTGCGAGGTGAGATGCTTCTCGGCCGAGGTTATATAGGGTAGCTGTCTGTGTCAGGGATAATGTTCAAATAACGCCATGAGCTTTAACAATATCTTAAAAGTGCTGATAAGCCGCGTTTGCTGTCATAAAAATTATTCAGAAATCTGTTGATTTCCTTTACCATTCTTCGTTTGTGTTTCAAGTAGGATCACAAACACACTAACTTTCAATTGAGTTGTATGAACTGTAAGAGACGTGAGTGAAGATGCTTCTAAAAAAATCTCAAGTTTTAGTGAATAAAAATGCAAGAAAACGAATGAGGTAAGACTTCTAAAACAATTACGAAAGTCAAAACCAGAATTTTCAAGTACATTCATGCAAATATATAATACAATACACCCATCAGTACTCACGCAGACATTGCTGCTGGCAATTCATTTCGGAAGGGAAGCTCTTCCTTCTGTATATTGTTGTCACTTTCGTTGATGATGTAGCCGCTGTTGTTGTATTACACTTGTATTCAAAAAACAACTTACATGACCGGGTTAAAAAGTCAACGCCCCAGTCTTTGGCGTGTTCTTTGCAAGTTTGAACTGCTACTTCTGTAATACAGTGCTGGTATATGAAGCCTCTTACAGCTGAAAAAAAAAACAACAAAAAAGAGTTTCTAACTGTGCTTGCTCTGTTAAACGCTGAATAATGTATATGGAGCCACGCGTGCTGATGACGTATGGTGAATTAACTAATTTGTGAGACAGCTGATTACAAATCAAAGACAAATGCATGAAGAACTTTTCAAATTTTGGTTATTTGCACCTATTTGACATTCTATATTATAGCAACTCCTACTGCATCAAGAATGTGTGTTTCTGACAGGCAATTTTTCAGAGCAAAATAGTGGATTGCTACCGTGAGAAATATGCGAAGTGGATGACCTGCATCTCTGCCTGGAATGCTGCTCCTATTGGTACTCTTCTAACCTATGTTTTCTCTGCCGTACGATCAGATTTTTTTTAAAACGATGACCTTTCTAGATTTGTTGGTATAAAAATACATGCCTAGCTTTTATGATTGGAATGCAGATGTGTAAGTCGATGGCAAGCTTTAGAGGAATTTCTCCCTCTCTCTCTCTCTATTCGCAAGATTTCCTTTTATCGTCTCTTATTTCCTTCACCCCTTTCCCCAGCACAAAGCAGCCAGCTGGTTTAAGAACTGGCTAACCTCCCGTCCCTTCCGCTTAAACTTTCCTCCTCCTCCTCCTCCTTAGAAGAATAAAGATGACCACCTGGTTATAGTAAAGAAATGTTGACAAAGCTCTTTTTACGCTTTGCTTTGTGTAGAGCTATTTCGAAGAAAGCCAAAACAGTTTCTTCTGTTTAAAACTAGTGTGCCATTTGGTTATGGACTACTGAACAGAGCACTAGAGTTAAATTGGTAAGCTGAGTAGAAAAAGGACTACTGTTAATATGTAAGTCATTTTGCAAGTGGGTACAAAGTGAAACTAACAAAAGCGTCTTATGATCTATCCAAAAATTAGGAACTAAAATCACGGACGATCGTACACAACCGAGGTCTGGCACCGTAGTTTCGCTTTGTCGTCGGCAGCGTTCATAGCATCACTTTATATCTACTTACACACCAGACAAGCCGGTAGATTAAGGCTATATGTGTAACTTCAATAGCCTACAATTTATAGTAGTTTATAGAAGTCACAGTGGCGGCAGCACTACTTTAACGTATTCCTTCGTATAGCTTCACCCTATTATAGAGGCCCCGCCGCGGTGGTCAATCAATCAATCAATCAATCAATCAATCAATCAATCAATCAATCAATCATTCAAGGAACTTTATTTTCACCAAAAACAAAAACATTTACGGTGAAAAAAGGTGGCCGGGAAAAAAGCTGTCCAATGACAGCTTAACCAAGCCTATCGGTGGCGAAACGACAGGCTACAGCACCTGATAAATGTGGGCGATAAATGCATAATAATAGTCGCTAAACAGTTTCAAATTGATATCATAGTGCATTCACTACGGGCGCAGGTGCACTACAAGGTCAAATGTGCCTAATTATACACTTGCTAAAGATAAGTAACGAGGAAAAAAGAAAAAAAAGTCGAAAAAAAAACAAGAACAAAAACAAAACAAAAAGTAAAACAAAGCCAGAGAAGAAGTGGCTAGTGGCTAAGGTACTCGGCTGCTAACCCGCAGGTCGCGGGACCGAATCCTGGCTGCGGCTGCTGCATTTTTGATGGAGGCGGAAATGTTGTAGGCCCGTGTTCTCAGATTTGGGTGCACGTTATAGAACCCCAGGTGGTCGAAATTTCCGGAGCTCTCCACTACGGCGTCTCTCATAATCACATGGTGGTTTTGGGACGTTCAATTCCACATATAAATCAATAATCAATCAACCCTATTATAGAGTATGCATCAATTACATGGGATAAGTATTGTTGAGCCAGCATAAACCTGCTTTATTACGGGTAAAAAAAAACAGTCATGTTCGTATGCCATACATATAGCTTGTGTACGTCTGCGGTTGCTTCAGTATAAAAAAACAAGTGAACACTTTTTTCTCTAAAAGAGCGGTGTCAGTGTGAGCCCTGAAAATGCAAGATATTCGCCATAACCTTGTCATTACACAGTATCCATGGGAACGTAGCACAGTATCCAGATCAACTACCCCATCATATCATAATTAAAAAAACGCGAGTGATCCCATGGGACACTGAATACGAGCCGGCTGATACGTATCCATAGTTAAAAGAAGAGCAATCCAGAAAAGGACAAGAATGCTAACAGGACCAGCGCTGGAACTGTGTGCATTCTTCTCCATGTCTTCTATGCACTGTTTTTATATGAAGTTTTTTGTAGCAAACTGCGTCTATCTATCTATCTATCTATCTATCTATCTATCTATCTATCTATCTATCTATCTATCTATCTATCTATCTATCTATCTATCTATCTATCTATCTATCTATCTATCTATCTATCTATCTATCTATCTATCTATCTATCTATCTATCTATCTATCTATCTATCTATCTATCTATCTATCTATCTATCTATCTATCTATCTATCTATCTATCTATCTATCTATCTATCTATCTATCTATCTATCTATCTATCTATCTATTATATCTTGAGTGGACCAAAATTAGTATGGCTCTCTTGTTCTCACTCTTTATGTCTTTCGCTATCTGTTTCCTCTTTCTTTTCCTTCTGACTATCGCTTCTTGTTTTTTTATATATCTTCGGTTATGTCTTTCTCTTTCTTGTTTTTCTCTATTTCAGCATTCCATTCGCCGCCTGCTTTGTTTTCTGTCCTTTATGTCTCTTTCTGCATCTATTGCTAGTTTTTCTTTGTCTTTGCCACTATTTAATTTTATGTCTTTAGTCCCGTTATTTCTCCTGCTGTCTTTCTCACTTTTTCATGTGTTCGTTTTTATTGACCGTCCAAACCTTCTGTACGTGGTGCTGGTGTTTGCCTAATTGCTTTGGTGTATACCCGCAAAAGGTTTCTCGTTCTAGTTGGACAGATTTTATCACCATCCAAATAATATTCGCTGTTAATTGACACGCCTCTTGTCTCTTGATTTTTTTACACAGTTCAGCACTTTTTTCTGTGCTTTATATCAACCAAGACCTCCCCTAGGGACCAGCAGTACCACGCAACTACAGACTGACTGACTAACTAACTAACTAACTAACTAACTAACTAACTAACTAACTAACTAACTAACTAACTAACTAACTAACTAACTAACTAACTAACTAACTAACTAACTAACTAACTAACTAACTAACTAACTTAATTAATTAACTAACTAACTAACTAACTAACTAACTAACTAACTAACTAACTAACTAACTAACCAACCAACCAACTAACTAACTAACCAACTAACTAACTAAATAACTAAATAATTATTAAAGAACTATTTAAATACATAACTAATAACACAATTAGAACTAGGCCCAGTCTGTAATGTTCAGTAGATAAAACGATGTTATTCACAGAAACATTAAATGACTTAGAGCTGTAAGCGTATGGTATAGGTGGAAAATGGAGTGCATTAATTCTTTGCTTGCGCATTGAGCGTGTACAACCGTCAGCACCTTTAACATGAACACTTCGATGCGTGGCCCGGGCTAGTTTGATAGATGTCAGCGACGCAACGCTAGGCGCTTTTGCCGAGATAATACCTCGGTAGACTTGGATAGTATGTCGGCATGTATGGTTAGCATCTTGGCAACAGAAACCAAACGTAGGTGGTGTCAGCGTCAATCAAACTGTCGCAGGACACGCGGCAGAGCGTTCGTGTTAAAGGTGCTGACGGCTGTACATTTGAGATGCTAATATGCATTCTGTTGACTAAAATGTTCTATCACAACACGAAAAGAAACAACAAATGACCACCTACCATTCACTTGAACAAGGCAGGAGGACGCAACGACAAAGCAGATGAGAAGTTTCGTAGCTGTAATTCTGCGGCGATTCGCTAAAACTGGCCGACTTTTTTGGATAGCTGAATGACTGCCTATTATTGCAATGGCTGTGAAGGCTTGCCTTGAAGACATTAGCATGCGTTTACCAGTTTTCATTGATTTTTGTGTCGAATGCGTAGTAACAGCTCGAGAGAAGACGCACTCTGCAACTACTGGCATAAACGAAGACGCTGTATGAACACCGTACGCTTCATGCGATTTTCACAGGAAGTCACCGCTATGAGGCCGCCCTCAATGGGTCTTTTTTTTTTTGCGGTTGGTATGCAGAAGTACATTTCTATATTCAAAACAATGAAATAGTTATTGTTCGCTTTTCTACGATGTATATATAGCAAAAATATGTGCTCCGCGCATAATAACTTGGCTTGAAAGATCAGCGCTTCCAATAATAACAAAAGACACAAACACAGGAACAATGCCTGACATATCATGGCCTCCACTCTTTTCTTCTATGTATTAAGGATGCACGCACAGTGTAGAGCAGCTAAATTGAATGTATGCCAAACGGGTTTTCTATATAGATAGTTTGATATATGAAATTTTTTATTATTAGAAGGGGTTTCACCATGGCTCGGTATACGAAATGATTTGGACATATGAGGGTTCGATGTATGTGGGTTAGACCACACAGCGTTTCGCCTGTAAACAAGCGCGGCGGGGCTGACCATGTACGGAAGTCATAATTATGGCTAAACGGGCGAAACTCTACTGGCATAGTCTGTGTTTTTCCGTTCGGGTGCAGATATTTGTTTATTTTTATGCATTCCACCCTTACAGCTCGTATTACAATACCTAGGAATGAGTGGATTGTACAAATAAAAACGTTGGACAATCTATGAACATAAATAAAAACAAATCTGTAAGATCCAACTAATAACAGCGTTCAACAATGTTGACACTATGCGTAATAACAAGAGGCAATGAAACCTAGAAAAACACACGATAATTCACGTGAAATATATTGGCGAAAAAGTGTAAAACAGAAATGGTAAATACAAATTGATAGCCAAAATATCGGAAAAAACTGAAAAACAGCATAATACAGAGATCAAAAAAAGTACTGGCAGTTTAAGGGAAAGAAAAAACAAGGGAAAAAAATAACAAGATAGCGCATAAAAGCACATCGTCAGACAGTGGCCTGCTAGACATCGAAAACAGCAGTGTTATTCTGTTTTCTTTCAATATCGCACGCCATCCGAAAGCGACAGGTGATATGTGAAACACCTAGCAACTAAGTTAGTGAGGGCGTTCACGAACGACAACACAGTTGGGCTCTGCAGTAAATTTTCTGGCAGGGCGTTCTATTTATGGATTGCTCTGGGGAAAAACGATTGTTTGAATATGTTGGTTCACCACGAACATTTGATCGACGCGAATGAATAAGATGAACGGGTGGGGCGCTGGTTATGCGGTTTAATGCAGAATTTTTTAACTATTTTGACATGTTCGCGATAAATTAGATACAACATCTTGAGTCTCTCTGATTGATTGATTGATTGATTTGTGGGGTTTAACGTCCCAAAACCACGATATGATTATGAGAGACGCCGTAGTGGAGGACTCCGGAAATTTGGACCACCTGGGGTTCTTTAACGTGCACCCAAATCTGAGCACACGGGCCTAATCTTGAGTCTCTCTGCTATAAGTCATACGTGCCGAAGACATTACACAAACATTACTACCCACAACTGCATCATTAAAAGTGAAAGATGGAAACCACGAGCAGAAGGAATCGCGAATCGCATGCGGCAAAGCTTACTAGACGACGCGTCACTGCAGAAAGACGCATGTGTCTTGGATGAAGAACTCTAGAACAGAATACGCTAAATTTATATGACAAATTCTCCACAAACCTTTTGGATTCAGTGGAGTAGATTGTGATTGGTATGGTTCAAAATTCTTTGCCATTTCGGTGTCATCTGCTCTACAGTTTTGCTGGTGCTCCACTTTCCCACAGTGTAACTAAACTAATCACTTCTCCAAATTTTACCGCAAATATTTTCGATATATGATAAGTGGGATTTAACGTCCCAAAACCACCATATGATTATGAGAGACGCCGTAGTGGATGGCTCCGGAAATTTCAACCACCTGTGGTTCTTTAACGTGCGCCCAAATCTGAGCACACGGGCCTACAACATTTCCGCCTCCATCGGAAATGCAGCCGCCGCAGCCGGGATTCGAACCCGCGACCTGCGGGTCAGAGCCGAGTACCTTAGCCACTACACCACCGTGGCGGGGCGCAAATATTTTCGAGCAGTCAATCATAATCCACTCTGATGCAGTGGTGTTTGAGTTAAGCTTACTGATAGATCAATTTGCTGCCTATGACTGATGCATGCAGCGACCTCCACGAACGATCCTTTTCGCATGTTTTTACAGTGAAAGCTGTTATGCAATAACAACAATGTTCGTTTTTTTACGCTGTAGATGTCTGCCATCGCCACCGCCACCGGTACCACTCCGTGGCAGCCCAATATTCTACGAGACGGCCACTGAAGTCCTCTAAAGTCTTTCCCAAAAAGGCGCTAGACAGGCGTGATGTTGGAAAGGAATAATTTTAACGTTTTTATAGATTTTCAGAAAAAACAACAGCAATTAGGTGTCACACGATGTAAATTGCGCAACTAATGGGTCGTCGAATGCGTCGAAGCTATTAAAAAGCATCAGCGATATTTATTGAGGGTCATCAGCTACAGCAGTTACCAAGCACACTTAATATATTTACAATGTATACACATTGTAAATATATATACAATGTAAAATATATATACAATGTAGTGGATGCTTCCCAACAGGACAAAATTGTGACTTATTGCAAAGTACTACCTTGCAGATGTACCGTATCAATTTTTATGAAAGAGAACACGGGAGCGCGTGGCCCGCGCGCTCCGGCGGCTGCTGGCAGCGCATTCAAGCGGGAGCAACAGGGACCACAGTCTCTTTTTGCGTCATCTCGTGGCGAGCAAAACAACCATTCGTTGCTGATGTTAAACCAGTGGCAAGACTGCGACCCCCTCTGCCTTCAAGGCAATTACGCGAGTGCTGGTAATCGCCTTGAAGGGTGAGGGGGGTAGGGTTGCAAGCTTGCCGTTTCATATCAGCAACGAATGGTTGTTTTGCTCGCCGTGAGATGAAGCGAAAAGAGACTGTGGTTGCTGTCGCTCCCGCTTGAACGCGCTGCCAGCAGCCGCCGGAGCGCGCAGGCCACGCGTTGCCGTGTTTCCTTTTACAAAAATTGACACTATACATGTAATAGTATCTCAAAGCAGGGTCGTAGCCAAGAAAAAAAAGGGAGGAGGGTTCGATGTATCCCCTTTATTTCTTTTTTTCAATATATATATTCGCACACCTACAAATGCGCGCAGAAACGAACATAAATTGTAGTGGAATCTCCCCCTTCTCCCCCGGAGCGCGAAAAACCTTCTGAAAACGACCTTATTTATATGAAGCGAGTGCGCAACAGGCTCCAGAAATACCACTTTTTAGGCCTTCGCCATGAATGTGCTGCGCTTTCAGCGCAGGCCTGATGTTTTCCTTTTGCGAAAGTTGAAAAACTTCCCTCTAACGAAAAAATTGGTAGCCAGTCTGCAATAAAAAAAAGTGCACAGCAGACAGTAGCGGTGCTGTCGTGTGTTCAAAAAGTTTGTTCGTATAGAAAAGATAATAAAGAGAGGGAGGCAGGAAAGGGGTGTTGCAAGTTAACTGGTGTGTGGTGCTGTAAACGAAAGAAATTGCAAGGTTCAGGGCAGCTGATTAGGTAAGCTACAAGATACTATACAATACTGGTCATCAATACGCAGACACATCATCATCACCATTATTATTATTATTGCCAGTTTATACGTCTTCTGAGAGACCAAAGGCTCTCCAAGTTGCCTCTAATTTACTTGATATCGCTACAAGTTGAATTCGTCTTATCTTTCTGGAACTTTTAGATTTCGTCTCTATAACTAATTTGTCAGCCTCCTCAGTTGAATTTACCATCTCTTGGTGGCCATTTGACTGGTCTAATGGCCCACTGGTTTGTCTGTCCTGCGCATTTTGTAGCCTGTCCAGGTCCATTGTTAAGTAAAGTAGCCATTGCTATTGCTTGTTTCTTGACCAAACCTGCTGTCTTCCTGCCTCTTTCTTTACACGCAACATTGTCGGTTTCAACTCACCCTGTGCAGTACCTAACGTTTTTCAAGTTACCTAAACCTACTCAACCAACATGCACAAATGCATTGTATATGAAACATACATGAGTCCACTGTACATAAAATATTGTTTCGGTGTACTGGAGGCAATATGCAAATGTACAAAAAGCGTCTCTCCCGCTCCGCTGCAGTGGTCTAGTGGCTAAGCTACTCATCTGCTGACCCGCAGGTCGCGGGATCGAATCCCGGCTGCGGTGGCTGCATTTTCGATGGAGGCGGAAAAGTTGTAGGCCCGTGTACTCACATTTGGGTGCACGTTAAAGAACCCCAGGTGGTCGAAATTTCCGGAGCCCTCTACTACGGCGTCTCTCATAATCATATGGTGGTTTTGGGACGTTAAACCCTACATATCAATCAATCAATCAATCAATCAATCAATCAATCAATCGTCCTTCTCAGTGCCCAAGAAAATATTGTGCAGCCATGCTTGCACAACATATATTTCCAAGCTTACAAACCTCATTTTTTAGCTGAATAAATTACCTTCATCAAAACTGAATCACAAATAACTGCATAGGACAGGTCACAATATGCAGAGTTTATCGTGTCTGGCAAGAAGGTTCAGGTTCTGACTGAGATAAATGTACTAGCGAAAACATCAACACAACAAAAAACACGATACACTTAAAAAGAAACTCACACACTGCTCTGATTTCAGGATTTTCGGCTGCGCTATCACCTTTAATTGACTGTCTTTTTCGGTAAGCAGTAGATAGGTTTTTCATCGCTTATTTTTATTATGTAATCTTGCTGTCGCTTTGATGCGTGTCATGAAAGAGGCCGCGCGTTCACGTAATAAAACAGTTGTGAGTATCGGCCCTAGTGTTTGTTTCTCCATAAGTGTTCGCTCTTTTTGCGCTGCTATATCTATCTTAATTATGAGCTAACTTGCCCAAGCATCAGTTTTAGGTGCCCGCTTTATGTGTTTCATACACAAATTTTCAAAGAATAAAAATTGACTTCCATGTGATGACCTTACTACATGCTGG